GTTGTCCCCCCCCAAAGCAACTCTGAGTCAGTTGTTGTTGTTGTCCCCCCCCCAAAGCAACTCTGAGTCAGTTGTTGTTGTTGTGTCCCCCCCAAAGCAACTCTGAGTCAGTTGTTGTTGACATCACGCAACGCCTCATGTTTTTGGGTGGACAGAGAGTCCGTGTCAGTTGTTGTTGTTGTCCCCCCCCCCAAAGCAACTCTGAGTCAGTTGTTGTTGTTGTCCCCCCCCCCAAAGCAACTCTGAGTCAGTTGTTGTTGTTGTCCCCCCCCCCAAAGCAACTCTGAGTCAGTTGTTGTTGTTGTCCCCCCCCCAAAGCAACTCTGAGTCAGTTGTTGTTGTCCCCCCCCCCCCAAAAGCAACTCTGAGTCAGTTGTTGTTGTTGTCCCCCCCCCCCCCTACCCCCCCCCAAAGCAACTCTGAGTCAGTTGTTGTTGTTGTCCCCCCCCCCCAAAGCAACTCTGAGTCAGTTGTTGTTGTTGTCCCCCCCCCAAAGCAACTCTGAGTCAGTTGTTGTTGTTGTCCCCCCCCCCAAAGCAACTCTGAGTCAGTTGTTGTTGTTGTCCCCCCCCCCAAAGCAACTCTGAGTCAGTTGTTGTTGTTGTCCCCCCCCCCAAAGCAACTCTGAGTCAGTTGTTGTTGTTGTTGTCGTCCCCCCCAAAGCAACTCTGAGTCAGTTGTTGTTGTTGTTGTCCCCCCCCCCAAAGCAACTCTGAGTCCCAGAAAGGCTCTATGGATATAAAGCATTATTAATGTGTGGTGAGACGTTGCTGAAGCTCACCTCTCTGCGTTCAGAGCCATCAGCTTGGCCACGTTGTAGCAGATCCTCGCTTCCAGCACTTTGCAGTTCTCATACGCCTGTCTGCAGAGTCAAAGAATACACATCATTCACACCAGAGACGGTCTCCTATCATACACAGGGTCTATGCAGGAGTCCTGAAGTCACATGTAATGCCTTTTTTAAGACCCTTTGCATACATGTTAAGACCTCATCGCCACTTGGAGTTCTAACCGGTTACCTTGGCGACACACTTTACCTCACATTGACTATATTCAGTACTGATTGTCCTTCCTCCTTATCTTCCAACCATTTGGACGCAGGCTTGCATTTCCCCATAACGATGTTGTTTAACAACCGGCGTAAACGGACCTTCGCGCTATCGAGCAGTGAGCGTGCGATGTGAGCGTGCGATGTCCTGTTCAGATGACGTCAAACCCAACGGGATGCCATCAATAAACTACACAGAATCACACTACACACCTACGCCATGATTACATTCAGGCAGACTGTAGAATACGACCTCTTTGGACCATTTAGATACTTATTGAAAACAAGCTACAAAATGTAAAACCTTGGAAAATGCCGTTTAATACTTTTTAACCCTCCGGTATCCTTCGATTGGACTACGCAAATTAGTCATTCGAGACAAAAATGTCCACTGCAAAAGACTTTGATAAAAACATTATATTAAAAGGTTTTTTTCACAACTTTTTTGGGTTCAATCTTTAAAGCAACTTCCGCCCTAATAGAAAATACCAAAAATGTAATCATTCTCAGGATTTTAACCCTTTAAATGCCATTTTGAAAACATGAAACCGCTGGTTTTTTTCATGATGAAAACAGAGAAAATGAGTTATTTTCCCAAAAATACATATCTGGGGACTGGCTCTTTTTTTTTTATAACAGTCTTGGATATGTCAAAGATTAGCAACAAAATGGATTTTTTTGCATTATTAGTTTTTGCACAAAATCAGATTGAACAAAAAAGTTACAAATTAGTCATTCGGGACAAAAATGTCCACTTCCAAAAACTGCTCTAAAATGACAACAGATTAATATTTTAAAAAACTTTTTGGGGTTAAATCTTTCAATCAACTTCAGTCCTGATCAAAAATACCAAATATTAAACTATGTTCAGGATTTTAACCCTTTAACTGCCAGTTTGAAAACATGAATTTGCGTTTTCTATGAAAAACATGCACAAAAAGGCAGTTATTTTCCATATAATAAATGTTGGGGGGGGTCGGCTTTTTTTTTTTTATCACAGTCTTGGGTATGTCAAAGATTAGCAACAACATTTATTTTTTTGCATTATTAGTTTTTGCACAAAATCAGATTAAACAAAATACTCACACATTAGCCACATTAGCCATATCCCATCCACTCCCATTATAACCACATCTTTTGATCTCTCCGCCATACCGGTATATAATCATGCATTTTATAATGTCAGGGTTTTATATTGGAGGAAAATAGTTAAATGTGTCCCTTTTTACTGTATATCACCAGATGTGACATTTTACCATTGAATTATATGACCTATAAAAACACTGAAGTAATACTATTTTCAACTTTCTCTGAAATCAGTTTTAAATCAGCATCAGATGTATCAATGTCAACATTTATTTTCCAAACAGCAAACTGCAATCAACATTCATGAACAAATCATACTATGGTAACAGCAGTCGGTGTACGAGGTGGATGCTTTCTCCGCATGATTTTTGCAGACACCAGAGATCTCCCCAACTCCTCCAAGAAAAGCCTCCTCCTGAAGGACTTGGCTTGCTTCCAGGAGGGATCCACAGCAGTAAAAAGCACAAATGCATGAAAGCAGAGACATCTATCATGTTGTGGAAGAGGACCTGTGGCCACCGATGGGTCATCCTCCTGCAGCTGTAGGAGCCCAGAACCTACAAAAGACCAATACAAAATTAATACAAATATTCTTTTAAATTATTAACAACTGTATCATGTATTATTTATATACTGGTAATGCCTCCATACCTTGTCTAGGTTGTGGACAGCTCCCTTGCAGTGGTTGTAGTCTGCAATGATCACAGGTTTCCTTTTCTCCTCCTCTGTCACAGCTGGGTCCCTGTGTTTGCTGCTGAGGAGGAGCACGTTTCTCCCCCGTTTGGGAATGTAGCTCACCGCTGTGGTGTTCTTGGTAAAACCAAAAAGAGAGGAGAGGGCAGCTCTCTGCCTCACCTGCAGGAGTTTGGATGGAAGCTCAGGCTTATTTCTTCGGATGGTTCCGACAAGGGCCACTTTCCTCTTTAGTAGCTCCTGCACAAGTGCATATGACGTGAAAAAATGGTCACAAGTCACAGTGATCCCTTGGAGCCCCTCTGTCATTTCCAGGACGACACGCTTTCCCTGGCCCACCTCGGCAGCACTGCCAGCAGCTTTACCGGTGTAAATCTGGCACTTCCAGGCATAGGAGGTTTCAACGTCAGCGGTGACCCAGATTTTTAGCCCATACTTTGCTGGCTTGCTTGGTATGTATTGCCGGAATTTGCAGCGGCCTCTGAAGGGGACAAGCTGCTCATCCACACACACATCTTCACCAGGGTTGCAAAGCATCGGAAGGCGATGTGTCCACTTCTCCCAGAGAGAGCGGATGGGGGCAAGCTTGTCCTCTCTGTGACGGGAAGGTCTCATCAGCTTGTCGTCAAACCGGAGTGGTATTCATCAACCGGAATTTGGTGTGGGTCATTGTGGCACGGAAGATGGCACGTCCACTGTGGTCAACCCAGAGGCTGCGGGTGGATTCGCCCTTCGATTTGTAAACTCCAGCCAATATCAGGAGACCGATATATGCACGAATATCTGTGGCATCCACATCACTCCAGTTTGCCACCGAACGTCCCCCCTGCAAGTTTGTCATGTCGACAATACTACTGATGATCTCAGCAGTGAAAAATAAATTGAAGGAGGATTCCACGTCATCAATTATTGTAATGGCATAACGCGTGGGCCCTGGAACCAAACCTCTGGCAGCGGGAATGTAGCGCAGCGTGTCGTTGTTAGAGGGAGACCAGATTTCACCATTTTTTGATGTCCACCCACTGCCAGAATCTTCTGTTTCCTCTGCAGTTTCAGCGGAAGGGTCAGAAGAAGAAGGATCAGACTCCACTACAAACTCCACATCACATTCTTCTTCTGAGGTTGTTTCTGATTCAGAAGAAGAGTCAAGCAACTCGCTGGAGGTTGCCGGCTGCATCACCATATCCCTAGCTTCTTCCACAGAGAAGCGCCTCTTCATCTTACTCGCTTGTTGCGTATCACAGGAATGAAACGACCAGCCAGCCAAACTACACATATTTATGGATCTGGCTTTGCAGCCAGGTGTTCGCTTATTGACTTAGTGCATGTATGGCTGTGTATGTTTGTATGCTAAAGAGACATTATCAAAGCCTTTGAAGTTCCAAACAATTCAAAACAACAAGGTCAAGCTGGGTCAAGATCATACCTCTGTTTACCTCTAAGACACATGAAACAGCACAAATGAAAACAAAATGCCACGAGAGAACACTTACTCCTACATTCTCACACACATCAAAGGTAAAGAGATGACGGGAAAATTGCGAATGCTGTAAACTGTAAATCAAGACATGACAAGCATGTAATTCAATGGTAAAATGTCACATCTGGTGATATACAGTAAAAAGGACAAATTGAACTATTTTCCTCCAATATAAAACCCTGACATTACAAAATGCATGATTTTATACCGGTATGGCGGAGAGATCAAAAGATGTGGTTATAATGGGAGTGGATGGGACATTTTTGTCTAATCTGATTCTGTGCAAAAACTAATAATCCACCAAAATAAATGTTGTTGCTAATCTTTGACATATCCAAGACTGTGATAAAAAAAAAAAAGCTGAACGTCCCAACATTTATTATATGGAAAATAACTGCCTTTTTGTGCATGTTTTTCATAGAAAACGCAAATTCATGTTTTCAAACTGGCAGTTCAAGGGTTAAAATCCTGAACATAATTTAACATTTGGTATTTTTGATCAGGACTGAAGTTGATTGAAAGATTTAACCCCAAAAAGTTTTTAAAATATTAATCTGTTGTCATTTTAGAGCAGTTTTTGGAAGTGGACATTTTTGTCCCGAATGACTAATTTGTAACTTTTTTGTTCAATCTGATTTTGTGCAAAAACTAATAATGCAAAAAAATCCATTTTGTTGCTAATCTTTGACATATCCAAGACTGTTATAAAAAAAAAAGAGCCAGTCCCCAGATATGTATTATTGGGAAAATAACTAATTTTCTCTGTTTTCATCATGAAAAAAACCAGCGGTTTCATGTTTTCAAAATGGCATTTAAAGGGTTAAAATCCTGAGAATGATTACATTTTTGGTATTTTATATTAGGGCGGAAGTTGCTTTAAAGATTGAACCCAAAAAAGTTGTGAAAAAAACCTTTTAATATAATGTTTTTATCAAAGTATTTTGCAGTGGACATTTTTGTCTCGAATGACTAATTTGCGTAGTCGATTTGTTACACAGTGAATTAAAGACCGATTTGAAAAATTGAAATTGGAATTCCAAAATAGATCGAGAAAATAGCCTTGTTACAAAAATTCAGGCCGTTTGCACCAACACAACCAAAGTTATTGCAAAATGAAAAGTGAAAAATGACCCATATGGACAAAAACGTCCACAGTGATACCGGAGGGTTAATAGCCTTAATTTTCGCTAAATTGATCTATCAACTTGTAATACTTTGTAAGACCCCGTGGACCCCCTGATGCTACTTTTAGGCATATATTATGGGTCTCAGATATATAAAAATATATAAAAACACATGTTATATCCTTCTGTTTCAGCCTGTTGGAGAAACGCTGATTTTGGGTCCTTAGCTTGAAAAAAAAAAAAAAAGAGGAGGGGGAGCTAATGCCTGCTCAGAACTCTCCCAGCAGAAACTCAGCTAAATGCTGCCGTGATGAAACTCCACATCCTGTTCCAAACCACATCAAGGATTCTCTCTGAAACAGGATGGAGCTCAAACTCTCTCTCTCTCTCAGGTTTACCACAAGGTGATTTCCTGCTTCTTCACACACTCT